TTCCAGGCTTTTTTTTTTTTTTTTTTTTTTTTTTTTTTTTTTTTTTGTAAGCAGCTGTTATTTCCAAACTGCAGTGCCTGGAACAGCTGCTGTCTGTGCATAGGACTGGAAGCTGTACATTAGGACAATGTGTTGCTTGCTTAGTGGCAGTCTGTGATCTTGTAACTTTATGATGCACTGAGCCATGTCCTATTGCTGCTTAAATAAGGCAGTACATTCATTAGTCATCCTCTCCTCACAGGAGGATGGCATCTCTGGTTCAAAGGTTTTCACACTAAGCAAGTGCTGAGCCAGTGGCTCGCTGCAGTGCGTGCCTTGAACTGCCTCTGCACAGCCATTTTTACCATAATAGGAGCCCTCTTGTGGACTATAACAGGTGATCTGTGTTTCTCTCGGATCTGCCACATTCTGACTTAGATTTAGAATTAAGAAGGGGAAAAAAAAAATCAGTAAAGTCTCTTTTTCTGTCTCCCTCAGGTTTCCTATTCTGTGTATCCTGCACTGCAGTTCCCACTGTTCTCTACAGCAATGCTTATTGGCGTTGACCCTTAGGCTCTCTGAAAGGGGATGAGAGCAGTAGAAAGATCTTCTGAAGAAGACTGACAACATAATCTTGTGTGAATGAATACAAATACCCGCCTATGCCACAGAAGCTACGAGGTGGTCTTGTTACAAAGGGTTTGCTGGAATTCCAACTGGGAGGACCCTCCATGTTCCTACAGCAGGTCAGAAGAACACCTTCAACGTTGTGCTCCTCCAGCATGCCAGCTCGAGTGCTCGGGATACTCTGATGTTGCCTCTACAGGAATCGGGGGCCCTGCAGAGACCTGGCAGGTAGCCCATGTCCACCCACCCCTCTAGCAACGCACAACTGCCCCCAGACCCCAACATTCGTGGAGGCCATGCCTCCATGGTGCAACTCAAAGCAGCCAAAACTACTTTTGCATTCAGCCTCATACCGGTATCTGCCAGTGCTGTTCAGTGTTGGCCAAGTTTGGCTCGATGGTTAGATAGGCGATGTGATATCTCTTCTCCCCTAAAGAGGCAGCAATGCACACTCTTCAGGAAAAAGTGCCTCGAGGTGGGAATAATACACACCTCCTGCTTGTTTTCACTGAGACTTTGTAGGGAACGACACATACTGACAGCGTACCCAACAGCAAATACTGCTTATGTACAGCAGTGGCAGAAGTTCTCATAACATTTTCTCTCTTGAAAGGATGGCCTTGCCAACCTAGCTCCTCCATTGCACCGCTCAGACACGGGGCGTACCTCACACAGACCGCCCTGCTAATTGTGGTGGTGCTTGTGAACACGTGGGTATGTATGCATGCACGTGCACACACAAACTCAAGCTTTACATGCATTTCTTTCCTACTCACACTTGTCATAAAGCCCCATTTAAATTCTGTAAGTTAACAAGCGGTTAACTTACGTGTACCAACAGTAATGAAATTTAAGTCAGGGCCTTGCTTCCTAAATCTGTTTTTGTTTGTACGTTTGCCTAGGAATACTTGTTAGTGCAGGTTCTCCATTTTTGGGGAGAGTCTCTCATGGTGACACAGGGATTTATTTTGCTTTGAATGCTGCTGCCTTCTGTCAGCATTCTCTCTTCTCAGCCAGGATGCTAGCACTGGATAGGACTCATCTAACTTAGGTGATATTCTTGCCTACTGTGTAGGAAAACGCGGTTTCTCGTTTTGAGGGGAAAAGAGTGGAAAAAAATCCCAAGCACCACCAAGTTTCCTAAGCAGCTATGCATACCAACTAAACCCTGCCTTGAATATAGAGGCCTTGTTCAGTTTTTCCTTTTAGTTCTGTCCTACTGCAAGCTGTACCCATTACCTTATTGCTTCATCCAGTACATAGTTAGCAGGGCAGGCCAAAGTCTGAAAGTATCACACCACCATCTTTGTGGGGTATTTTGTTGCTTGAGCTGTTTATCTTGCTAGGACACAACACAGAAATGTTTTCTAGCAGGTATGTATTGGAGGAAAAAATGCTGGAGGGAACAGAAGCGCTAAAAGCAGTTTACAGAGCATTGAGCAATGAGAGTCTAAGGGATTAGAGCAAGTCACTAGTGAAAAATAAGACACTGCTCCCTTTCTACTTCTGCTGAAACCTGCTGCCCCATCAGCATTTTTACCACTATCCCTTTTTATGAGACGAAATGGGAACTTCAGAATATTCCTACTGAGGGGTCAAAAACAGAGAAAAGGAGACAAAACTTGCCACCAAGCCCTCAGTGGGTGACAAGGAGCCAAAGTTATCTGCACATGTTCATTCTGGTTGCAAGTGGGACAGAGGTGGCATAGGAAGCAGTACTACTAAAAGGCAACCTGACCTTGTCACAGGAAGGGCTGCCAGTGAAATGCAGTCTCATAGCATTCATGTTACCTTTTCCTTCAGTCTGCATGTGCTTATTCTAGAACAAGCAGCTTCTTGCAGGCTGAACACACTCTTTTTCACTGGAATCATTTCCTATGTTTTCACTTTGCCAACCACACTGTAGCTCTGGCAGCTGCACCTGAATTCAGAGGCTTCCCCATGCTCTACTTCTGCTCCCAACTGATGACTGATTGCACAGCACTCTGCAGAAGGGTTTGTCTTTTGCACAGTGCCAAACCTTTCTGTGTCACGCCAGACTCCCACAACACTTTAAGTAACTCCTTAAAAAGGAAACCAAAACCTCCACTGACAAATATGCCTAGCATCAGTTTGCTCTTATACTCAACAGGCAGGCTGCTTGGTTTATTTTCTTTCTTAAGCACTTATATTATGAATCATGTTTTCAATTGCTTTATGCTGTATTCGTTGAATTGCACACAAATGGTTTCCATGAGACCTTTTCAGCTTAATATCTGGGTCTTTCTACCAGGTGAGCTGCTGTTTATTGCAGGTATTTTGTATATTACACGTGCTGGGGTTTCTCCTTTAATTGTATTAAAAGTTATATTGTACAATCCGTTTAGTTTCCTCAGAAATAAAAGATGTCTTGTACGTACTGGGAAGTACGGGAATGAGGAACTAACTTCAGCAAGAAACAGAGTGAAAAATGGCTGCTAATCCTGAGTTGAATGTAGATGGAAGTTTGTGTTTCCCCTTGCTAAGGTGCTACATAAGGGCATCAAGGGCTCCTTCCTTCCTTACATGGAGAAGAAAAAGAATACAGGTCTGCTGTATCTTAGCTCTGCCTACTTTCCCAAGGAGCAACATCCCTGCATCAGTGGTCACAGACACAAGAAAACTGGTGTTCTTCTGACACCACGTCAAATACCCCCTGAAAGAGGCAGAGAGAAGAGCTGAGCAATGACACAGCTAAGTGTCGTGCACACAAGCACACGCACAAAAATACAAAACATTCCTATATATATAACTGTAGTGGCAAAAATGTGATGTGGAAAGGCCTTCTGTCTTCTGAGGGGCCAGAGGTTAATCACACCAGTGCCACCAATGTACACTGTTTAAACATGGAAGGGAGAGTGACCTATCCATAGTTCTTCACTTCAAATAGGGGGAAATCAAAGCTGAGTGATGAAAACCCTGAAATACAGGCATTCCTTCCATGGACAGATGAATTACACTGAGGTGTTTGAAAAATAAAACGTTTGTTTCAGAAGTTATAAAACACAACACCTTCTTGGAAGCAAGCTGTGCCAAAAAGATTGCTTTGGGTGGGTGGAATATGCTCTGTGCAATGAGCTGCTCATATTTCATTCAACACTAATTAGCCATAGCAGAGGAAAGCACTCACACAGAATAGACTGCCTACTCTTTTTCCTATGGGACCTTAACCCCCCGCCTGGATACAATTCTTTTTAATAAGACAAAAACCCCAGCAAAGAAAAGGGGCCATTAGTCTGACCTTCTGCTCTGAGGGAAAATGGCAACAGGCCACCATCTGCCCTCAGGTACAGGCCATTATTAAATTATCCTCAGCCCTACCCATAGGTAGCAGCTACAACTTGACGTCTGCTAGAAAATAGTAATCAGAGGTTCCTGTTACTGCCTGGGAAGAAGTCTGACACTGCCACCAGACTTCATGCTTCCTGGGGGGGATCTTGGATAGAACTCTCCTCATGGGACATTGCTAAGTATGTATCCCTAATGCAAGCACCGTACTAGTTAAGCATAAAGAGATTATGGACACAATCACCACTGCCAGATGGCTTTATTGAATGTCATGAACTGCATTTCCCCCCCTGAGGTAATCCTCTAATTTTCAACCTTCATGTGAAATTTGAGCATTTTTTATTGCTGTTAAATCTGTCCACTGAGCCAATGCTTCTACCATTACCATCAGAAAAGGTCATCCTTTCCGTTGACCCCCTCAGCCACGCTTCTACTGAAGAACCCAAAACATGTCTTCTACAGGGTATTTCCATGCCACTCCAATCTCCTCCACCCTTCCTCAAAACTGATTGTGAAATACCCTAAGCACTGCAAGAAACAAATGTGTTTTTCTGTAAAAAACATGAATAAACCACCATCAGCAAAACCAAACCGATCCCAGGCAGGCAAAGTCAAGGTGTGGGAGAGGGGTGGCAAGAGGAGGAACACTCTCACTGGTGCAACCTATATTGTGCTTCAACAGCAGGGGCTTCAGGCACTGTCTGAAGAGCAGCTTTCACCAAAATAAAATTAGCTTTCAGAATCAGGCTCCCTTCAGCAATAGCAGGCTCCTCCTGCTATTCTACATCACCAACAGCTTGGACATTTCCAGCAGCAAATGGGTTCCAGCAGAGACTCTGTGGCTGCCCTCATCCTCAGCCAAACCTAGCTGACACTTGCTAGCCTGTAGAGCCTACCCATCCACCTCGTAAAGTGGAACAGGTTTGGCCCTTCCAAGCCCTTGAGAAGCGATACGCATCCACAAAAAAACATTTCCAGCAAACTGGTTTTTCAGAAGTATGAAGGATACAACTGCATTCACAGAAGACTTCCATTATGTCTTTGGACAAAGACTTAGAATAGAATCAAAGTACTTTGTAGCTGCTTACAACAGAGATCTGAGGACGACTCAGCAGCTCCTAGATTCTCCTGCTATTTTCTGTCTGTGATTGCTCCTGGGCATCGCTGTCCATTTTGCCCAAGTCTTCAGTCACATTAAGCCTGGATTGCCTAAAGAGGGAAAGGAGAGTGCAAAGAAACTTTATGTCAGTGTATTTCTTACAAAGACATCACTGCAAGTATTTCAACCCTTAAAAAGTTTCTCCTAGAACAGGCACTCCTTGTGAGTTTCAGTAAGTCACGCAGCCAGCCTCACAGCCCTCTATCCCCAGAAGATTTTATCAGCAGTTTGTAGATAGATATGTGGAATACACCAAAAACATGGTATGGCATGGCTTCTCTAAACGTTTGAGACACAGAGACCTGGACACACTTCTAGTCAAAGACTTGCATAGGCAGCTCTGTCTCTTACCACTCTGCTAATTTCTGTTCATACTGCTCCCTGCGCTCACGATTTCGCTTCTCCTGCAATGTCTCACCAGCAAGTTTCTGTGCAATCATTATGAGGCCCCCTGCAGGGATCCTAGAAAAAGTAGAAGAGAAGTCACAAGTTACCCAGAGGACATTCAGTAGTAATAACTTACTGGCAAGAGTGAAAGAAGCGTGCGGGGGCCAGCCACCAGATCACTGAAGCACAACATTGCCCAGTACTGAAATGACACCACAGACTAAGGCGCTCTCGTGCTAATGTCAGTCATCAGCTGTGACTCACTGTAGCCCCTTGAAAATGTATTTTGAAGTTATTCATGAGCAGGAACACACAAATCAAGGGGGTGACAGGCCTTAATGTGCACCAACAACCCTTAATGTACCAGCTCAGCCTGAAGAACCTGCCTTCTCTTAACTTCTGCCCGAGTTAAGAGGTCGCTGCCTAAACGGCCAGAATCCCAGAGAACTATGGGTCCCCTCCACCCTCAGGGAGATGCAAGGTATCCACAGTGATGTGACATCTTACAGCTCTGGATTGCACAGCCCTACCACACAGCCTCTTCTTCAGCACTTCTTAACAGCCGCCACTCCACATCTTGGCTTTGATGGAACCTGTTTTGCAAATGTCTCATTTTGACCCATCCAACAGCCCTTGTGCGTTCAGCTCTGGGCTCTGAGCTGCTGGAGGAGGAGCCCTTATCTCCTACACTCCTGTATTTAACCCCAAACACCACAGTTACTTGAAAAGACCTTAAACTGTTCCGTGCACAACCAATGGGCTTATTAATGGCCGTACCAACAAGACATGTCTGTGACCCTCCCTCATGGTTTCCTATTTAATAGCAGTTAGTGCCTCCTCTGCTATGCAAACAGCGGTAAGACGCTCTGTTGAGAGCACTGAGCTCTTATCACAGAGGAAAGAGCAAAATATAGATCAAGAAAAGAAAAAACAGTTAAAGGGCTGGAAGAAAAATAATCATCACAAGGTCCCAGGAAAAAATAAAGAAAATCCCTCAGGGCAAGAGAGAAAGGAAAACATCTGCAGTCCCACCTGTGACTCCGGGCTTGGTGTGGGGGGCCACCACCTAACACAGACCATCAAAAAGTAACTGTGACTCAGTCTCTGGTTGCCACAAGTCACAACTTACCCAAAGGCTGTTCCGAACAGGAAGCCGCCTGCCAGCCCAGACAGGCCCAAGTGCATTCTGAAGAGAGCTCCTGTGAAGGCTGAAAAACACAAACTGGCTGAAACCACGATCAGCCCCTCACCAGCCATTGCAGGCCTGCCAAGGGAGCTGCTCCGCTCAGTTTCTCCTCTCTGTTAGCTGACTTTTGTTTTTAACAGAGCAGAAACCAAACGCTGTGGCCAGCAGCTCCCACCATGCAGTCGCAGCAGCCTGACTTACTGTGACAATGCTTTCCCCTGCTTTCGTCCACGTGCTCTCTGCACTAAAACATATCACAAAGCTCATTCTTCTTGAGAACAACTCCCTAAGAAATGCTAAAATGCAAAAGTAACTATGAAAGTGGAACTCAGTTCTCTCCAGACTGGAGCACGATCACAGAATCACAGAACCATAGGGGTTGGAAGGGACCTCTGGAGATTATCCAGTCCAACCTCCTGCTACAGCAGTTCCCTACAACAGGTCACACAGGAAGGTGTCCAGACAGTCCCGAATATCTCCAGAGAAGGACACTCCACAGTGTCTCTGGGCAGCACACTCCAGGCTCCATCACCCTTTCTCCCCCCTTGCCCCCCCTCTTTTTTTTTCCCTTCTATTCAACTGCAGCTAATTATAGCTGCTGCCATGTAAGGCAGAAAAGAACAGTAAAGCACATACACAGCTGTATGGGCAACAAATCCTCTAAAACCCAATGACCATATTTACCAGGAGCTCTATTGCCAAAAGTGGATGTGCAAAACTTGCCACAAAAACAGTACTTTATAAACATTTATAAACATTAAACTGTTGTGATGAGCAGAAATAAGAGCTGATCCTCTGCCGAGGAGGTGGTTATGAGGGCTGGTCATGCACTAAATGTTGCATTTATGCCACACAAGCAATTTTCACACAAAAACTTCAACAAGTATTTTGAGAACGGACTAATAACTACAAAATTCCCCATTGGTTTCAGATAATGCATTGATTATGTGTTACAAATAAAGGCAGACAACAACTATACCATGGGGCAAAGTTCCAAAGGCAGCCAGCGTAGCAGGCTGCAAAACCCGGGTGCAACGATGCTACGGGTCTGCTCATATTCAAGAGATATGGATTTTTGCTTATGATTTTCTATTTATGTCCTCTGCTTACTGACACTGAAAAAGCTAAAAAGTACACAGATAAAAATTACCCAGTCTTACCTCCTGCTGAAGCAAAATTACTGATGGTGGTTTTATCGCGGTACACGGACAGACCGGTGCTCACCATGCTGCAAGGGTGAGGCATAAAGACAGCAGTTACACATGAAAAAGACACTGCTTGAAAAGAAGCAGGATTTCATTAAGCCCACCCGCAGGGTGCCGCTGTATCCTGCTACCAGCCTGGCCGGAGCACACACATGCCAACCAAAAGTGCTTTATTTCTGCAACTTTACCTCATGCAGCTGGACAGCCAGAGGTCAGGGAGGACTGCTTTTGGATAGCTTTTTTTTCCTTTCTGTAAATCAAAGACTTCATTTTTTTTTTTTTTTTTTAATCCATCCTACATTCAAGAATAAAAGGGATCGAGCAATGCAGTGGTCCTGTCAGTTGTACAGCTACCACTAGAGCTGAATCATACTCAAGGCGTCATCAGGGCCACCAGCTCCATGAAGCAGAAGGTCCCCTGCTGGATTAGGAGCACCACCTCCTCCATCTCTCTCTCCAATTACTAATTACCAATGTAATGCCAACCTTTCCAAAACGTGGAACTAACAACCTGTTTTTAAACCACAAGACTTTACATGTATGCAACTGCAGGACAGAACCTTCAACTTCGAATTTAGGGCAGTGAGCATGGCAAAGGCTGCCCATGGCAGTGGGCACAGCCCCAGGTGCTGGAGTTCAGGGAGTGTTTGGACACTGCTCTCAGACACAGGGTTTGGATTTGGGATGGTCACGTGTGGAGCCAGGAGCTGGACTCAATTATTCTTGTGGAGCCATTTCAGCATGAAACATTGTATGATTCCACACAGAAACAAGTAACACTGAGCAGCATCTCCCTTCAAAGCGTTCCACAAAGGAGCGGTGAAAAAGGATGATGCATTTGCTTGCGTGGGAGACATCTGGTGGATGGCAACGACATTGCACGACTAGTCCTGAAAAAATCTAATGCATTAAAAGTTCCGAAAGAGAAAGCAAACAGCACGCTAATTAAACTCGAGAAAAGATACTGTGGCAAAAGGAGCCAAAACATGACAGAAAACATGGATGAAATAGAGAAAGGCACAAAAACATCAGGAAGAAAGGCCGAAATATAAAAGCAGCTGTCTGGGAGTTAATGCTAGTCAATAGTGCTGCTATCTAAAAAGCAGAAGGGGAACACAATGCACCCACAGGTGTAGTCAGTGCAGGTATAGAACTACGTACCACTCTTCACATCAGGCATGGTGATGTTTCTAGTTGTAAAGGGCGTTATTTGGAATAGCGTGCCTAGTCTGACACTGTACTGTGAGAAACACACGGGCACTTCTGGGGGAGAAAACTGAAGAAGTGGAACGCTGTGTGTGCACTGCTTGTGCAGGGACACGCAAAGGAGTCACCTCCAAGAACGTGAAGACAAGGACAGAGAATTGTGAGTAATGCCACTGTACACAAAGTGGGGGTGATAAGACGTAACAAAAAGGAGAAAAATCAGTACGGGACAGAAAGCTGTTCCAGAACAGCCAGTGCACTGTAATGCCATCTCAGAGAAAAATGCACAATGCATCAAAATAAGAAAAAACAGAAATAAGCTGTTAAGTGGTGGGAAGAACACAATTTAGGCCCAAAACAGAATGGACCAGCTGTTGTGAGTGGAGCTTTTCCGGTTTTCATTTTTGCGTTGGCGCAGGAGAAGATTTAGCGCTGGGCTAATTTAAGAAGGTGACATCCTCTTCATGTTTCCACTTCATTGGTCAGACTGCCTGGGTCCAAGCACGACTCTCTGCTCTCCCACTGCTACCACGAAGAGCACACTTACTTGAATATGGTCACGAAGGTGGCCACCCTCCAGCTCCAGCGCCAGCCGTAGCGGATGAAGCTCCTGAGCCCAGCACGGTGTGCAGATTGCTGGGGGGAGGAGGAGAAGGGTTAGAGACCGTACAGCCGCTCCCTTCAGCACCATACCACTGTGCTGCGGGGTGCTGCCAAGTGGCACCGACCCCACTCGAGGTGCTGGGAATGACACCCCCAAGGGTAAAGCCGATCCCTTCCTGAGGAATGAGAGCTGATGTTTACAGCAGAACAGGCACCCCAAGAATTAACTGCCATTTGTAGCGCTGTTTTGCAGAGGCAAAGCAACTGGGACCTCGCCACCTGATTTGGACTTCTGCTTGCACACAGAATCATAGAATGGCCTGGGTTGAAAGGGACCACAATGACCATCTAGTTTCAACCCCCCTGCTATGTGCAGGGTCACCAACCAGCAGACCAGGCTGCCCAGAGCCACATCCAGCCTGGCCTTGAATGCCTCCAGGAATGGGGCATCCACAGCCTCCTTGGGCAACCTGTCCCAGTGCGTCACCATCCTCTGTGTGAAACCGTCCCCTTCACCACCCCTGCTCAGCACCGAGGTTCTGAAGGCAGCTCTGCCCGCGGTTCGCCCCCCGGCCCCGTACCACCGCATCGGCGCGGTTCTGGAACACCTCTCCCTGGCTGCCCTCGATGAAGGCCCTCCGCGCCTGGCGGAAGGCGGGCAGGCCGCCGTACAGCCAGCCGACCAGGCCCCCGGTGAACGCCGACTTGATGATGTTCACCGTCTCCTCCGGATACCGCTGCTGCTCGCTGCAAGGAAACGCCGTGCCTCAGCGCGGAGCCGCGCGGCCCGGACAGGCCTCGGCTCCCGGCTCCGCGGGGCGGCAGCGCCGGGCTCCGCACCCGGAACGCACGCCCGCACACCCTCAGCCCGCCGCCCCGGCCCCGCCGCCCCGGCCCGGCCCTCACTCTCGCCGCCACAGCTCGCTGAGCCGCTCCCAGCCCGTCTGCGGCGGCGGCGTGGGGCGGCTGAAGGTCCGCCCTGCTCCCAGCCCCTCCGCCATGGCCCTCCCGGCGGCGGCGCTGAGCGAGCACCGCAGCGCCCCCAGCTCCACGGCGGGGCGGGCCGGCAGTGCGAGGGCTCGGGAGCTCCTAGCCGGGTGACCGAGCTTCCCCGTGTGTGGAGGGGAGGGGAAGCGCCCCTCGGCCTTTGGTCTCTTATTGGCTTCCGATTTCCTATCACACGGCGCAGTGCCTGGTGGCCGCCCCCATCGCTGGAGGCGCTCGGGGTTGGATGGGCCCTGGGCGTCCCGAGTTGGGGGGCAGCCCTGCCGATGGCAGGGGGTCGGGGCTGGGTGGGCTGCGAGGTCCCTTCCGACCCAAACCATCCTGTGGTGCAGTGAACACGACCCACCACCTGGGCCTTCACTTGTGCTTTCCGATAGCAGATGTGGCCCAGCAGCAGTGCCACTATCACAGCCCACCGAGACCTCTGCCAGCTTTTGGTTTTACCCTTTTGTTTCTTATGGTTGTAACCAGTTGGAAGGCTACAGATTCCTGTTCTTGTGTGGGTCTCCGGCGCTGTGGCAGTGCATCTTACATGTGCTTACAAGCGCTGTGCAGAACATCCTTCACATCCCAACCTTTATCTAAACCGCAGTCCTGAGGGAAGTCCCATCACCTTTAGGAGCGACCTCCCCGCCATTCAGGCTCCATCCTGTTGGGGAGGAGTGGGGGCAGTTACTCATGGCTGTTCTAGGAAAGTGGCAAAGGAAGCAGAGGAGTCACCAGTTAACGCAAGCAATCACTCAGAAAAAGTTTTCAGTCACCGTCACGCATGACTTGGCAACGTGGATGGGCATATTCCTCAGATTCCACTGAGACGCCCTAAAGATACTGTCAAAGAGGAAAAAAAAAGCAACACAAAAAGACAAAACTTCCCCTTCTCATTGAGACAGCTGGGGACTATCCAGATCTTTTCTTGCAATTCTGAGAAATAATGCACCCAGCAACAGTTCATTTTTTGTTTGTTTTAATCCAAAAGCACATTACTAAAAATGGTTTAAAAATACTATACAGAGTTGTGTCCATTTCTCAGGTTGCTGAGCTTCATTGGCTAAAAATACAAAACCAGAAAACCCTTTCCACTTGTACTCAACCCTTTTCCTCTGAAACCAAGCTATTTTAACACCCTAATTTGTTTTCTGTGCCCACAGTGGCACAGAGCCGCATATGGCTCTAGCAGCTTCACTGGTACCACTGATAGTTACATCCCTGCTCCTGGAAAGGGCAGTGCTGCTGAGGTCTCTGAGTGCGTATGTGTTGCGAGTGTACTTGGAGCTTCTTGACTGTGTTTTCTTCTCTGATCCAAAATGACTACAGAGAAAACTACAAGCTGCTGTTACTGTTCCCTTCCATTAAGGTGCTGCTTCCTAAGACATGACTGAGGCCACTTTGTAAGTGAGGGAGCTCAGCAGAGATGCAGAGGCATCCCCTGAATCCCATGCTGCTGCCACCCCTGCTGTTGCAGCCAGAGGGAGCAGTCTGCTTCTCTGCACTCCAACAGGCTTAGGCACCCAGATGCCAGGAAGGCCAAGACCTGTGTTCTGCTGACAGACGGCCCCTGACACCCAAAGGATGTCTGGGACAACGGCTGCTCTGGCCCTGCTCAGGCAGACATTCTGCAGCACAGAAGGAGCAGTGATCCCAAAGCAAGTGACTCACAGCTGCAGGGGACCAGACAGGTTAGGAAGTACAGCGTAGCTCTGTGCTACTCAAAAACTTGTTTTAATGCAAGGCTTTGACATTACAGTAAGTAGGAGAAACGAAGCCAGTCTGGATGCCAGAGAACACACTGCTTCCTCCCAGGTCTCTCTCAGCTCAGAAAAGATAGAGCATTTTGGGAATTGTATTCCTTATGAGCTGAGCAGCCTGCAGTTGGCATAAAAACGCTTAGCACAAGCAACCTATGACTGAATTTAAGATGAACAATGTGAGGAGTAGTTGCCTCTGTGTGACTTGAAGGCATTCCCTCAAGCAGACTGAGAGAAAGGGAGCCTAACAGCTGGGTGTAAGAAAAGGGAATGTTGAACTGAGCAGAGGTGTCACCAGCCTTAAAATGAAAGATTACAGAAGAGGATCAGAGCAGAGAATCTATGAATATGTAGAAGAAAAAAAAAGAACAGCCCGATCTACCTCTGTGTACATTTTCTCCAAGTTCTTAAGGGTCCCAGGATGTCTGGCCAGCAGACTGCTGAGACCTTGATAACACAGCCTCAGTTTTGCGTGGCTGTGCATGGATCCAGCTCAGTGCCCCACAGTGGAGGCAGTCTTTATCTCAGCTGCTTGACTGTCCACTACTCAGGCCAAGCATTATGGCAGTGCTATCGTCACCAGCCATTCCCTTGTGAGGTAGGTAATTTACCTGTGCAAGGATAATTTGTCCTTTTAATGGCCCATCAAAGTCTGCCATCGACCTTAAAAACTTGACCTAAACATCACAAACCTAAACTCTAAGCTATCTAAAAAGGTTACCTCAAATCCCAGTACCTGCTCCTGTCAGTGAATACCTAATATCCCAAGTGCTATCACACAGATGAGAGAACACTGACCACTGCCAAAAATGGACACGTATCTCCCAGCTGAGCATAGCAAACACTACCTTGCCATGAGTACAGAGGACTTGGCAAAAGGTCCAGTAAAATGAACAGCAAGGCATCTCATTGACTGAATAGGATTTAGGATCATTCTGAGACAGGCAGTAACAAAATCCCAAATGACTGTGGCTCTGGGCAGCCTGGTCTGGTGGTTGGTGACCCTGCACATAGCAGGGGGATTGAAACTACATGATCGTTGTGGTCCTTTTCAACCCAGGCCATTCTATGATTCTGCAACAACACTCTTCCAGGCATGAGCATAACCAGCCCAGCACACAGCCATACTCCAACCTTCAACTTACTGTTCTTATGGCAACAGTAGACCCGGGTCCCAGTGCATGGGAATAATTTTAAAGTTAGCCTATTGGTGCTCTCTGCAGTTTTAGTGTAAAGAATAATAAATCTGAGAGAACCAGAAAGAAGACACACCCATCTTCAGATTTCCAGAGAGATCAGGTTGAGCTGAAGGAAAAAGCAGAGAAGCCTCTACAGTTCCGTTTTCAACCATTCAGAAGTGATCTCACTGTAGTTCTTCCTCCTTTTCACTTTGTAAGTCAAGGTTTGGGAATATTCTGACAACAGATGCTCCCAGTAGCAAGAGACATCCTCCATCTGCAAGTGTTCAGTGATGAATTGGCGTCCCCTGGAGACACACAAGGCACAGTCAGAACCAATTTCCAGTTCCTACAAGAGTTTTTGGTTTTGTTTCATATGCATATCAACTTTCACTCTTCTGTTTTGTTTTGTTTTTTTTTCCAAATGAGAAACAACATGCATTGCTCCGTACCGTCTATTTCCATTTCCCAATCTTCACTCACTCTTATGACTCTGACACTTGCACTGCTTTTGTTATCCTCAAGATGGTATTTGTTATCTGGGATAATAAATATCAACTTTTACATATCAGATGCAGCCTAAGCAGCAGTGCAACATGCTGCTTCAGAAGGCAGTTTCTGCTATCCTGGGTATATAATGGTTTTAATGCAGACGTAGCTCCCAGGGGCCAACTCACTTCATACTGAGACAGAAGCTCCTAACATCTGATAGCTTTCAGTGGGGTTCCTGACACAGGTCACATCTGAACTGAAGACCTAAACACACAATCTCCAGGTCCCCCCGTTTGTTATAAGGTCTCTAAAACTCCCGCTGTTATTGCAGAAGGAAAATATACTTTACCCTATTAGTATTAGGCTGGCTTTGATAGGTAACCTCTTCAAAAGCTGCGTAAGAAAATGTTTTGGAAGAAGAATGCCTGACAAACAGAAAGGACACACAACTTACCTCTCTGCAATTTCCTGTGCTATGTTGTCATTTTCCTTTGCAAACTGCAACAGCTCCCTAAAATGCAGACAAAAAATGTTATGAAACAACTAGCTTAGTGGGGAACTACAACTCAGCTAAACTATTGCAGAGGATGAGATTAAGGATTTAGAGCTGGGCAAAGATTTGAGATCACAGAAGAATCTTGTCATTCATATTTGTTCCGTATCAGTCCTGGACAGCATGCTGAAACCCAGCAGCTAACACATTTCCAGCCCAGTAATATGTTCTCCTTCCTCTTATCTGTGTTTCTGTGCTCACTTCAGAGATATTTAAGTACCTAATGCCTGCTGATTTCAGTGAGGGTGAGACACCTTATGTACCCCAGTGAAACCACATTCTGTAAGAAATACACACAAATGGTTCTCTGAGTACGATAATAAAGCAAAAAGAACACGACCTCCAAGAGTCTTTGATGGACAGGAGCAGAGGCTCCTCTTCCCAAACAGAGCAGTGTTGCCTTGTGCCATGCCTTGTGCCATGCCTTGTCCCACTGGGCATAGCTAGGGTCACACACCTGACATCAGAGAGATTTGATTTGACTGGGATGTAGTGGACCCAGGGCTTCAGCTGTTGATAGAAGAACTCCAACCACTCTTCTCCAACGTGAAAGACGAGTGAACCACACAGGAAGAGGTGTTTCAACCGGAAACTGGCGGCCACTCCCCGGAAATTAAACAGATACCTTTAGAAGGTGAAGAAAAGAGGTTACACCTGGCATTCTGTGAGAAAATACCCAAAGAAACCAGACTCTGAGTACTGATAACACTTTCTCACTGGTCATAGCACAAGTAAACTGAAGTTGAAGATGCTCTAGGTGAGTTTCTGGTGCTGAACAGAATGTAGGGAGGAAATCTAGGAGAAAGACCTGGCTATGGCAAACCAAATGAGGCTTCACCAACCACTGCCTAGAAGGCATGGAACATCACACCTTGGATGCTATTTCTGTGGCTCTACACTACTGACAAAAGACTGTTCCCATGAGGAGCTTTTCCCCGATTTTACTGTCTTGAAATGAGCTTTTTTGTCCATTGTTCTGCTTTTCTGTATCTATTCAGCCTTTTTTTTTTTTCTTTTCTTTTTTTATCTT